ATAACATTTGGTGATAGAACGTATGGAGAGAGGATGTAAGTATTGAAAACTGCACCTGATATAGTGTTTGGACCAAGTACGTAAGGTGATAGGATGAGAGGATTTCCTACCTCAAATAAAAATCACTAAAAGGTTTCTTTTAGAATGATAAAAAATAACGATTTTTGTACCTGTGGTGAGATCACTGGCGGGCTTAGAAGCAGCGGTGAAACAATGTTAGGCGAGAATAGACTAGGTGATAGAGTTATTGGGCCTAGAACGTTCAACTGAAACGTTGTTTATGTTGATAGAATCCTTGATGAGTAAAAAGAATTTTTCACTTACTGTCATAATAGTCGGAGCAAAAGCATATGGAGCTAGAGTTGTATGTCGGAAGTATTGCACTGCAATCGTTCGCTTAAATCGCCGATGTAGAGCTTTTCGGTCATCCGCTAGCATCCGAACGGTGTTCCGTAGTGATTCTTCTCGCTCTTTTCGAGTCATATCTGCGTACTCGTCGATGTCAAATGGAAGATCAGCCAGGGTAGTGTTTAGCAATCCTTGAAATGTAAATGATGGTAATGGAGAATGCGCCAACTAAACAACAACGCTAAGCTCAGATCCAACTTGTCGTAAGCTAAGCTGTATTAGAGTATTAGGAAATGAGTGCAGTACAGTGTCTAATAAACTCAAAACAAATAAATTTTCGGAAATTTGGGTGGTATGAGACAGCAATACGAATTTAAATTTACTTCTGAAAAATGTAATTTCTCTTATGAAGCTATGAAACAACAAAATATTTTCCTGCATACAATTTTTTCAAAGAGTATTCTCAAAAAGACAAACGCACCTTCCTTTCCGTATAACTTCTCCATTTGCTCTTTATTCAAAAAGGTAAACTGTCTTTCGGCTAAATCTCGTCTTTGCTCCACATGCATACTATTTTTTATATCTTCAAAAACACTATCAATAGCTTTTGTTATCATTCCTAAGTCTTCATCTAAATTCAGTGTTTTCATGTTGTTCAGCAGATCCATTGACTTTTCAACAACATCATTTACACCTGAAAACCATCTGAATCTAGAAAATTTGGGAAACAAAGTATCAATTGGGATGACTAACCCGCAACATCCATTACCAGCTCTAGAACAGCATCACGATCTTTAGGATTCAAACCAGATTTCTCTAGAACTTCTGGTATCGGCAGGACAGTGTTGTCGCTGTCATCCTTGTAGAGCGGAAATAGATTTGGCGACAGTAGTTTTCTGAATATTAAACATCTTGCGAGTGGACATCAGGATGAATTACATGTAAAAGAGAAACAGAATAAGGCATGAAGGTCAAGATGTGCCCCGTTTCACCTATGTACACGATGTGCGAAGACACCTTTTTCAGGTTAAAAGGAATGTAGTTTTGCAGTAAATGACTTAAAACCTAATCACTAAACGAAAGCCATGGAATGAGGGACAAGAAAATAATGCCATATAATTTCTGAGGTTTAAGATTTATAATTTCTAATATGCTTGCTGAGCGCGCTTTGAGGTCTTCACGATTAATCTCACTCGCACAGAGACAATGGATGAAGTCCAACCTGTGGAACAAGCTGGATTTCGCAAAGGTTTCGTCTGCGTAGATTACATCCAGACAGTCTTAAGGACTATCGAGGTTTGTCGAGAATACCGCCTACCTCTCGTCTTAACCTTTGTCGACTATAAGAAAGCTTTTGACAGCGTCGAGACTAATGCCATACTGCCGCGCTTGTCGATCCAGTGGTGGACCCATCTTCAATGAGGCATTAGCCCTTTGCTACGAGAGCTGCTCTACGACGGTACAGCTTTTCCATCGCCCCCTCAACATACCAATTTCGAAAAGATATATTCGACATAGAATATATCTTTTCGAAACATAGATATATAGAATATTCGACAAGGCGTCACCGTGTCGCCAAAGTTGTTTACCGCCGCTTGCAGTGGTTGATGAAATCACTGGATCACTGTACGAGAGAGGTGTACGAGTTGATGGGAGATTCCTCTCAAATATTCCTTTTCCGGATGCCATTGTTCTCTTCTCGAGGATCGACGAAATGGAGACGATGTTGAAAGCGGATAGGACCGCATCAACAGGAGGAAGACTCATTTCAGAACAGTTTTTACGAGGGTTAAGAACTGAAGTTAGAAGACTCTCCAAAAGCGTAGACGTCTTTTTACGTATATATCGAACGTTGAACATGAAGAAGGATCTGAATGAAGAACTAAACAAGAAACGAAGAGCAGTTTAGGCCGCCTTCGTGCCCCTAAATGAAGCCACAGACCAGCTGACGGACCCAGAGCTCCGAGCCCACCTGTTCGATTCAACGGTTCTTCTGCGCTCTGCTACGCAGCACAGACGTGGCCTGACACTGTGGATACGTCGAAGGCACTTTGAACAACCCATAAAGCGGATTAAGAGACGTCTTCTGAAGTAGAACCAACGCACTCAACATCTCGTCGGACTTCGCAGTTCAGATATGAGATCAATGTCTTGTCTTGCAATCCAGCGGAATACATTTTTAAGGCAAAACATCGATGAACTGATCATATAATGAGAAAAAGGACAGACAGCAGGTGGACGCTAAGAACTCTGGAATAGATCCTTCGCGAAGCAAAACGTCCTTGAAGGAGGCCACCGACCAGATAGGCTGACGTGTTCGTTGTTGGATCAGCTGAATACTCAGCTAGTAACGGTTAATGGATCTGGACCTCGTAGATGTCGCGCCGCAGTTCAATACCAACATCGTGGATAGGATATTGAAAGACATAAATGCGGATATAATGCTGGGCCTGCATAAGTGAAGACAGGCCATCTAATTATCTTATGTTAGTGTTAATGATTAATCAAGGTCTAAATAAACCCCTAACAAATTCAAAATCCGTGAAGTTAGGTGTACGGTCTTACTTCGACATGCTGTACTTATCGGGGAGAAGTGATAGAAATCGAGGCGATAAGAATTGCGAGTTAACGTCCTTTGAATGTCTGGATAC